CATGACACAGTCCTTGTCCTTACTGCGCATGACACAGTCCTTGTCCTTACTGCGCAATCTCTAATTCTATTTTTTAAATCTTTTTCAACAGAAAAAGAAGGCTTCTCCAGTAAGTATTTTTTTATTAATTTATTAATTTTATTTGACTTACGAATATTTTGATACATACTTTCATTTAAAAATAACTTTAATGGCAAGCTATTTTGCTGACTGCTATTTTGAGAGTAAGATAGTCTTTTTTCGAAACATGCTGAAAATCCGATCGCGACGAGGTTTGATATTTTGATATTTTGTTCGGACTTGTTCGTTCGGCCTTCAATAGTCGTTACTTCAAAGCAAGTGATACCACAGGGAACCTACTTAAACCAGCACAGCAACAGAAGAACACTAGAACACTTAACAGGGTGAACAGGTTTCTTAACAGGCTGAACAGGTTTCTTAACCGCACCACAGGAAACCCAAGGAACGTTTTTTCGAGGTACGAAAAATTGTTCCTTGGGTTTTTTTGTATTTGGTGTTTTGTATTCGTAGTGAGTTGTCCACTAATGATGTGTTTGTTTGGTGTGTTATATTAGTTTGGTGGTGGATTCATTAATGTTGTCCGTAAAGCTCAGTCTGCTGCCTGGGAAGAGAAGTTTAAAGCCATGAAAGACAAGAAGAAGGGTTCTGAGGTAAAAATAATAAATATCTTCAATATGTAATGACAGTGCAGAAAAACGGTGTTTGGCCTTTCGCCATAAGGACAGCTTTACACATTTAAGCTCAAGATTTTGTAAACACGTTCTTTTGGAGCCAAATAGCAAAATATCAAATGCGGCCAAAATTTATTAAATGCGTATTTGAGATAAGCCGTGTACTTTGGGAGAGGTGATATTTTGATAAGCAGAAAAACTGACGTTTTCGTGAATACTAATAAGTAGATTTACTCTAATTCGATAAAATTTCGTCACAAGTTTCCAGCAGCAGTGACACAAATGAAACGCTTAAAAATTTGGAGTATTAAACTCAGTTAAATTAAAAAATCGTGAAGGTAGAGGGCTTGTCGTTTTTCTGTCCTGTCGTACAATCCAGTTCTCGTTTATCTCTTCTATTCGTGTGCTTGTTCCTGTATTTTTTTGGTTTTTATTCGTATATTCTCGTATCGTGCTCGGGAGTGCTCGGTTAGTTATTGTGCGGTATTTTTTTGATTATCTTTTTTTGTCTCGTTTCTCATTCGTATGATCTCGTATCGTGTTCGGGAGATGGTCGGTTTGTTATCGGGTGTTGGTCATTGTGCGGTATTTTTTTATTCCCTTTTTTTGTCTCGTTTCTCATTCGTATGATCTCGTATCGTGTTCGGGAGATAGTCGGTTTGTTATCGGGTGTTAGTCATTTTGCAGTATTTTTTTTAATCCCTTTTTTTGGTCTCGTTTCTCATTCGTATGATCTCGTATCGTGTTCGGGAGATGGTCGGTTTGTTATCGGGTGTTTGTGAATGATACACATGATAGTATCGATATTCTATTCTTACAGCCTAAGCCCGACTGGGTGACCAAAGTAAAGAAGCCAGAAAACCCTCTTATCGCCATCAAAAAACCCGCGCCATCAGCAGCAAAACCAGAAGAAAAGAAACCACAATGGGCTCAAACCAAACTGAAGAAAGGTGGAGGAGGGCGTGATGATGCTGGCACCAAATTCGAGAAAAGACCTGACTGGTCCGCACGTTCACTCAAGAAAACTGAAAAGAAAGATGAGGACGATGATGACAGGGTGACCAAGAGACACGACTGGAGGGAAGGACTGAAGGCATCAGACAAGAAGTGAACAATTATTACAACCATTATTAACCCTTTTGCTTTTGATTTATCTAGTTTAAAAAAATGACCAAAATGAAAAATGGATGTTTCTTTCAGTAATATAGGAATCAATGTTGTTGTATTGTTAAGACTCATTCCAAGCCTTACTCGTGCCTTATGTCCGGGGACAGCCTGAGAGCAAGATTTTACTTTAATGCCTTTGCGTTATTCGCAACATCATGATGTCCGGGATCCTTACACTACACCTTTCCCGTGGCCACCCCTGTTAGGCTTGGATTATCATTCTAGTTAAGATCAGCATCAATATGTGGTACAGCTCTCTTAGGTTTTCAGCTGGAATAATAAAAGGAAGAAGTATTTTAGATCCATTATATTTTTATACTTCATATTAAGATAATGTTTTTTATTTGATCAAAATGGAAAGTTTACTCCAATCATTATGCATTATAGCAGTTATATCAGGTAACGTTCAAATGCTCTCATTTGATTGGCTATTAACTTTACCATCTATAAAGTCATAACAGCTTTTTTATTTTTATACCGTTGAACAAATATTTGGATGCCATGACATCTCAGTAATTAACTTTAGTCTTCCGTTTCACAAAACCATAGTGAACGAATTTTGTAACTATTTTAATGTCTGAATGGAATAAATTTCCAATTCCTTGCACTTTCATCTCTTGTTATTATTACTTATCTCTACAGTCCTATTTTATTCTCCCAAATTTCTTATTCAAAACTAGTTATAAAAACGCATCCTTTCTAGCTATAAAACACAAATGCCTACCCCATCAAACCCCAAAATGGCCAAAAATAACCCATTTTGCACACTTCATAAATAATGCATATTTTCCAAAAAGGTGTGAAAATAACCCAAAATCCATCAAAACCATGTCGATGCTTTTTGCCCCAAAATGGCCAAAAATGACCTATTTTGCATCCTTCATAAATAATGCATATTTTCTTAAAAGGTGTGAAAATG